TAAATGCAAGTTGTTGTTGTTGTTGTAGTTGTAGTGTACAAAATAACAACTGCCTCAGAGTATCCTGATTCCTACTGCAACATTGATTGAGCAGAATCTATTTATTGCAAAATAGCCTCTAAGCAGACAAAATAAAGCTATACTAATAAATAATTTCTTCTGTTGCCAACAAAAAGTTGTACATTCATGAGGTTAAGCTTATCAGTTATTTAGTTTTACATCTTTATTAGAAAAATATTTGTGAGTTTTACAATAGGGCCCTTGCCAACAGCAAAAAACATAAATTACCAAAGCAATTCATTACCCTGGTTTCCCTTGATGCCAAAGTAATACTGAGATGTATTTATTAATTCATACTATTTACACTTGTGTGTAAGCAAACTTATTAAGTATAACATGTTTGGTAGAATTATTTTGTTACCCTTTGGGTGCATTTTTTAGTACTAAAGCCACTTACAAAATGTAATTTTACTGTATCCCTCATACTGCAGTACTGTAAACAATTCTAAGTATAGATTTGACATTCATAAAAGACTGGTTTCACACTGAAAATATAATGTTGGTGTTCAGTATAGATCTGCAAAACTGCCCAAGTTAGATTCAATACTTGGATCGATTTGTAAAATACAGAAGCCCAGCACCAAAATAAAGAGTACATTTTAACTGGATTCAATGGGCCTTATTTTCCAAATCCAGTACTTTATTTTTATGTAAACTCAAGACAAGGAAGTATTTTTGGTATTAAATTCATATTTAGTGATGTTAATGTGTATTAAATTTCCATTGAATATTTTTTGGAGCTGCTATGTTGTTAAACTGAGGTTCTGTCTACATGGTGATTCTACAAGGTCGCTTGGATGGTAAAGGTCCCATGGAACTGCTCAACAAAATGAAAGGAATTTCTCCTAGTATCCTGGCTAACAATCTCACAGATTAAATTGTTCATTGATGCCCTGGTTTTTTGTGCTCTGCGCTATATTCAGTATGCTTGCAAAAAAACTCACAGCCTATACACTTTGAGTAAATCTTGCAAAGAACTTTGAGTTATCCTCCTCCGTATGGAAAGTGCCATTTCAAATGCAAGGATTATTGTTATTAAGTATTTATGTAAATTATAATAATCCTTGCATTTGATATAACTTAAACCAGACATATTTATCTGGAGGATTGTTGGCTGGAGTACTGAAGGAAATACTTTTCCCATTTTGAATTTTCCTCTTCCCTCCCTCCCTCCCTCCCTCGTTCAAAACCTACTTCAAGGCTTACCTCCTTGACTGCACTTGGCGTCATCATCCCCCTCCCACACTCTGCAGCTTGGGTGCCCAGTTGACAGTATGAAGCACTTTAAAATGTTCTCCCAACATAAAAGGCGCTATATAAATGTAAATTGTATTGCATTTGAATATTACCATGGGATCTTTACTGTTCACTTGAACAGGCAGACAGGACTAAGGTTAATACCTTATTTGAAAGAAGGCACCTCCAACAATGGAACACTCCCTGTACTGCATTTGGGTATCAGCCGGGACTCTCTGCTCAGATTCTGATGTGAGGTTTGAATTTACAACCTTCTGACCCATGGTGACAAATCAGCTGAACTCTGTTGAACACTCCTGTCTAACAGTTCTGATTGATGCCAGATGGAGAACGAAGCCAAGACTTGAAGCTGTAAAATATCACTTTGCGGCATGATTTATTTGGAATACCAGTGCACTGTGCCACAATGCTACCATTACCAGCCAATGTCTCACCTGTACAGGTAGATGGACCAACAACAACAACAAAATTACATTTGTATAGCGCCTTTCACATCCTGCTCTGGACAGTCTGTGTTTTGGACCAGCCAATTAAAGGGCTGGCTATGCCAAAGTGAATGTGTTTAGCAAATACAATTTAAAGGAGCACGGTCAAATTGGTTTGCAAATTGTTTTTATTTGTTTGCAAACGTGCAAACGTAACTCAGGTCAAAATGGATCACTAAATAGTGTGTGACACCAACAGAAATAAAATGAGAGCACAGTCGTCCTGCTCTTCTGCTGGCCTAAAGGAACAAAACATTGTTACAGAACACATTTTCATGTGGCTAGTGCCAGTTTCAGTAACCAATTGCAATGTATACTGAACTGCCAGGTTGCTGATTGAAGCAAGACTGTTGCCAGCTGCCTATCCTAGATTCTCTGTTGCAATATATGAGCAGGGATCTTCACATCTTCCTTTCTTGGAGGCTTTTACTTTTACCTTGATTTAATTTCTGGTATCACAGAAGATTGCTTAAACAATGTGCATTCAAGTCAATCATTTGAATATGGTTTTAACTTGTCTTTGTATTGATTTCTCCCACAAAATATTATTTATCGTTTTGCACCCAAAAGATACAGTCAATTCACTTTACAGTATAATAATAATAATCCTTGCATTTGATATAGTGTCCTCACGGGAGGACGTCCGAAAGTGCTTCACAGAACACACTGTAAAGTGAATTGACTGTATATTTGTGGGTGAACGCGGCAGCCAATTGCCCAATTGCACACAGCAATGTCCCACAAACAATCGTAGATTGAAAATGACCAATTTTATTATTGTTTTTGGTTTTGGAGGGATTATTATTAGGCGTGTGGAGTAAGGAAACGTGCCCAAGGTTTTGCCCAGTCTGGAATTGAACTCAGGTCTCTCGCTTGCAAAGCGAGTGCTCTAACCACGGAGCTACAGGACTCCATAATATATTCTATGAAGTGCTTTGAGATGTCTCAACGACATGATAAGGCGCTATATCAAATGTAAGGATTATTATTATCATTTGATTTCATAAAGACCTTTCTATTATACCTATAAAAGTAAGGTCTATAACTAATTGATAGAGGTTTATTCCATCCTCTGAAATCAACTGTTTTCTCTCCCATTACTCAAATTCAGCATCGGATAGGTATTGTTGAAACTTCTCCCTTTGCCTTTCAGCTGCTTATGTATTTCTTCTTCTACCATCGCCTTTCAGGACTGAAATTTTTTTGCTTGTTATGAGGTCAACCGGGTCTCCTTGTAGCTGAACTGGTTTCAAGGTGACGTGCCTAATAATGAAATGTTGAAATCCTTGGAGGTTCCTGAGCCAGGCAGGTCCACAGTATTCCAGGGCATTGCTTATGACAGCACAGCCAGCCTTGCTCATCGGCAGGACCTGGAAGGGCAGACCAACCACTGGGGGCAGGGAGTCAGCTCCTGTTAACCCTGCAAGCCAAAGCCCTAATGGGTAGGGTGGTCCTAGCTGGACAAACAGCAGGAAAACTTGCCAGACAGCAACATTATTGGCAAGCAATGTGGTTTTTTTGCTGTTTAGACTCCAGCAGGACCCCAACGCACACTCTGTGGTCCCCAAGCCTTGGGCTTTGCTAACCTGCTCCGAATACTTCCCAGAATTATAGAGCGTGTGCATTCCATTCCAGTAATCCATCTCTGGAATTTCCAAGTGTAGGTGGGATGCATGGAAATCTCAGCTTGGTTTGGATACTCAAACTGAGTTTCCACATGTGTCAGACACCTAGCTGACCCAAAAAGATCATCATCTCATGTTATCTATAGAGCCTATAGTGAATTTGCATGTTTCCTCCTCACAAAGTCTATGTCATTGGTCAACCAAGATCGACCCCTTCTGAACCCTGGCTCGCTGTCATTTATTAAGTTATTTTTAGATAAGTAATCTTCGATTTTCTTTCTGCTCATTGACTCCATCAGGTTTCTCAATTACTGATGTCAGGCTAATGGGTCTGCAATAAGAAACCACATTTACTTGCTTCTTGTCTGTTGGAACCTCACCAGTACTGATTATCTCCCTCGTAATGTCTTTCAGTGCTTCACAAATCTCCTGCCTTCTCAAGGTGCCCTGGAGTACAGTTCATCCATCTCAGATTTATTGTTTTTCAGCCCCATGAGTCTATCTAGAACCTCAGTCTCACTTATGTCAAAGTCCCAGATGTCAAGCAATGTTTTATGAATATTGGGGTATGTTTTCAGTGGTTAAAAACCTCCAAGTTGTTTAATATGTTCACTATCTCCTGATCATCTTGTTTTTAACTTAACTTTGGTCCCTTAAGGTTTTAACATATCCTCTAACTACCCTCTTAATGTTATAAAATTGAATGAATTTTGTTGGTATTATGTTTTGCATTTGGTCTGTGTCCCTTTCCAGTTCTCTCTTGGCTTCCATAAACTTTTTTTTAGCCGCTTTCTGTAATTTCCGTTTTTATTTTTCTGTTGATCCATTATGGAGCATGTTTGCTTAATTTGCCCATGCTGTGCTTGGGGATGGTACTTGTTCTGCACAATGTTTTTTCTTAGAGCAAGTTTAGCAGATTAAAAGCTGTATTACATACGTTCTTAAACTGCTGCTTGCTTTTTTCGTTTTATCTACCAATGTCTATTATGATCATGTTAGTGTGCTTTGTGCTTTGCACTATAATCAGCTCTCCCCCTCCCCCCCATCCCTAAAATCTGCTATAGGCCACAACGGAGTATCAAGTCGTCGTAGAGTTACATATTTACATAAAATCAAGCCACATGGAAACAGACCATTCGACCCAACTATAAACATGTCATATCCCACACAAGCTCCCATCAAATTCATATTCCCCTCTCTTATACCCCTCGATTCCCTTCTCCTTCATGTATGCTACCATGTTGAATCGAATTAACATTATGCATTGATGTTCTCTTGCTATTTTGTTTAGGTTTTGCTAAATAATAACTGTTTGAATAATTACTGATGGTTGTGCAAAATATATTGTGTGTGTATATATACATATGTGTTCAGACCCAGATACTTATTTTTTCAGACTGTTTAGTCATAAAGTTATTAATAGCATGTACTGAAGTGGATTGCAGCACTTATCACATAAATTAAATTTTCAGTCACTGATCTTGCACTAATAATTAGCTTGTTTTTTTTATTTAACTGAAGTGTAATCTTAGTTGCATGTAAGAGAGAAAAGAAATCACACAAGGGCATCAAATCACTATGAAAGCCAGTAACTTTACTGATTTGTCGGCAAAATACAAATTATACCTTATTTCCAGCGAGAGAAACTTGAATTTTTCCCATAAAAATTTTCACTACAGACAGCTGAATTAAGTCCCTTGAGATACATAGATGTAGTTTAACTTAGTTATTAACATCTTTTTGTCATCAAGTGGCGACAAAGTCCAGCTTATGCCGCTGTGAGCCTCTTTATTTTTGCTGCAAACGTCCACATTTCCCCCATTCACAAGCAATCGTTTCATATTACTATTGTATAATGGAAACAAATCCTCAGAAAAAAATAACAGCAAACCAGCTGGAGCAATCCAAGTCTGTTTCAGTTCAATAATACTTGTCCCTTCCAAAGCAATCCAGGCCTGCAGTTTACAACAGTTCCTTCATATTGAGCACTGGTACCGTATTTCATTGCTTAGTGAACTGACCTCTTTAAACTGTTTTGAGGTATGGACAAATTTGAGGTATGAACAGGGAAAGCAATATATATATACAGTATATATATATATTACTTGAACTAAAATATTAAAAACAGAGAAAGCTTAGAGAAGCATATTTGCAAAAACTGTGGCTAAAACCTGGATTGCTCCACATCTTTGGTTAAAATATTAACAAAAGCCTTTACCATAACCTACATTTCGAAGCATTCTTAATAAACATTACTTATTCAGTCTTTCCAGAACTCTGTAGTGGCAGGAAACCAGCATCAGGTGAAAAATGTCACATTATACACAGCAGATGGCACAAACAAGAAGAGTCGAAGCACTTTTTTTTAGGCAATAGTCTTTTTTGAGCAACAACGTGGCTTTCAGGAACACTTGTTTTTAATTGGTGAAAATAAAGGTGTTTCTCATAAAACCAGATCTTCAAGAGTAGATTTTATGAAGGTTGATAAGTGGTGTTACAGGTGTAAATCTATTTCTTACTCAATGTTTCCATGTCAAAAAAGACTATTTTAAAGAGCAACTAAATATATATTTTATCAAACTTAAAAATAAACTTTAATATAAAAAAAGTTATTACATTTTGAATTCTATTCGTCTAGCTGACTTTCTTCTGAAGAATACTCTTCCAGAATGCAATATGTTTTGATGGTGTGACCGTTTTGCAAGGGCCTTTGAAAATATTTCATTGGAGCAACATAAAATTACAGACTAGCCCCACTTATCATAAAACTCTTTTAGAGGTAGAATAGTGGATTTTGCAGAATATTCTGTCAAAGCTGATCTGGTTTGCTGATATTTTCACTATCTCAGCTCTTACTGTGTGACATCTACTAGCCCTGATATGTCAACTCAAGTTACTGGCAGCAGTAAAGCAATGCAAACATCAAGATATCAGTAAATTACTTTGCTCTCACTCTGCGCAGAAATAGTAACAAGCCTTTTTGATGTTCATGAAAAAAATAACTTAAGTGCCCCTAAGAAAATGCCACTGACCTTTTGTGTCGCAGTAAAGAACATTGCCTAAATCTGTTAGCCAATGAGCTGTGTGAGTAAATGATAATATACATGGGGCGCTGCCCCGTATTTCTTAACACCACAGAAATTAATTGCTGAACAAGAATTAGCACTGTGGTCAAACATACAGCAAAACTAGAACACTTGGATAACAGCAAAGTAGAGATCGAAGGTAAAGAAAGCAGTGACCCATGTGAATGAACTTGTGCTTCTCACTTTAAAAAAAAACAAAATTGTGGATATGAACTGCTGTTAACACAATTTTTGCTACTTGCTCGGTCTACAATAAAATTGATCTTTTACCTTTTTTGCAAAAAAATGCTGAATTAAAATAGTGTTCGGAGATTGTGGCTGCCTGCCATTCCTTTCCTTTTACCTACTGAGTGGATACCTGCCTTTTAAAACCACATAATCATGCTATTACAAACAGTCCTCTTGTATTGAAGCATTGACAATGAATTAACCTTTAACACTATGGTGTACAAGGGGAACAGTTTTAAATCTGAGTGAGCACATGTCATGTGTGCATCTCAAATGCATCTTCATCAAGTTGTGTCTGGGCACCCAAGGAAGGGAGTGGGAGGGTGGAGAAGTATCAGAATACAGAGAAGTTAAAAGCAATTAAAAAAAAAAAATTTAAATGAAACAATGGTGTAAGATATTTGCTAGTAATTGTTGAGACTCATAAATTCTGTTTGGAGACCACCCAAATTCAAACAACTTTTCAAAGTAAGTCAGGTTTAGTACAGATTGGAGTTTCATGGCAATGCAACTACAAATGAGACGTACTGTAGCAAAATAGTGACCGAGATGCTTCTGAAACTTCCCCCAGGTGCTGAAAATGCCAGGCAGTCCCACTCCTTTCCATGATATTATTCCTAAACAGTAGCAAACTCTAAAATACATACCAATCCAGTCCTCCCAACTGGTTAACCTCTTTATACTGAACACAGCCAACTCTGATTCTGCAAAAACGTGTGCAGAAGAGATTTAAAGATTTTAGGGTGAGAAATTTCTCTTTCCACTATGTGAGACGATTTTGCCAAAGTATACTTGTCATGGGTTCTTTCCCAATATTCTCGCATATCGTCGCTACACTTAGCAGCAAGGACAATTTCACTCCCTTTAGTTACTGAAACGTGCATCTGCACAAATACTCCCCCCCACTAATAAGATAACCAAAACAATGTTTGCTATGACCATAATTAATATATATTAGAAAGCTATACACAAGCATGTTAATTTCACAGATTTTAAAAGATTTTCTTAATATTATTTTTATATAATTAGAAATACACATTTCAAAAACAAAACTCTACAAAGAGAAAACAGTTATCTTGGTTAGCAAAGCATGGAGTTTTTTTTCATGGCTTTAGGGTAGTGCTTCCATACGAAAAGCCCAATTCCATTATTTTTTTCAGGACTGTTTAAAATACCAGCGAAGCTATCAGAAAAAAAAACATTTTGGCTTAAGTAAACTACAAAAAGCCACAAATGCTTTGCAAACATTTTTTCTTTGCTTTCATATGAAAATATAAGCAAAATGTAATGTACATCTTTTTTTCCCCCACTTAAAATGTTAAACAGACCCAGATCTCAGACTTTTTCCACCTATTAACACTTTCCATTGCTCTCATAGTATGGTCTCTTTCAAATGACTTTGATTCATTTACTAAGTTCCATACTCCACCGATGTGCCTTTTGTGTTGCTACTATGTATGGAGGTGTCAGCCATCCAACCAACTTCATTTTTTTTGAGAACGGTCACCCATATTCCTGGGCCTGTCAACTATATTTATATATATATAGATTCTTTTTTTGTTTTTGTTGCATAACACAGCTGCTCTTTCTTTCTCGGCAAAGATCTGCCAGTTCTGGCAAACGTTTCCTTTTAATCTGCTATTTACATGTAAATACGTTGAACCTGCAACATGACACTATCTATTGTAACATACATTTTGCAAGGGAGCACAGCAATGAAAAAGAGTTAGCGGTAAAATCTACATTGTACAAGTTTTTTTTTGTACAACTCAAGTGCTAAACTGTAATCTCAGCATTTTACGTTTACCTTATATCACTGAGGCAAGTTAAAAGTACTTTTACAAAACAGAGTACCTGACTTATTTTCCACACACGGTACATATAATGTAGAACCCTCCCTCCCCCCCAACCCCCCCCTTTTCCCCTGTAATGTAGAGCACACACACACTGCAAGAAAAACAATTATTGGAGAATCTTATCATGTCGCCCATCCTTCAGACAGCCTCATCCGTTTGACAGACGGGCTTTCCCTTTCGTCTGGCGAAGGCCTTGTGAGTCCGATGGGGGAGTGGAAGTCATTCCGGTGATCCTCACGGTCGCTCCCGTCGTAGGAACTGCTGCAGCTGCTCAGACTATCCACAGGCGAGCGCCCTGCCTCGTGCCGCGAGTGCTGTGGGTATCCCGAGGGCGTGTGGGTGCGGTCTCTAGGAGGAGAAACAGGTTCTGACTTGATGTTGAGGCTTTGAGTAGAAGGCAGGGAGAGATTTGTACTCTGAGATAAGTGAGTGCTAGTGCAAACTCTGTAGGAGGAAAGGAAACCAGTTACAGAATGAGGAGGCTGACAGCCCCCACTTCCATGCGTTCATGGCCACTCACGCAGATGTACACTCACACCTAAGCTTTGAACTATTTTATCAGCGACTGTGCAATGAGACAAAATGTGCACTGGTTGTGCTTACACTTAAACTGCACTTAAACAGCAGTGATGTCAAATGCAATTGATAATAATTCATCACTGTCAGCGATAATCCAGCTTTGTGATGTCTTATTCATCTAAATGGCAGCGTAAACTCCCATTCGAGAATTGCGTTATATTCACCTAAGGCCTGTCAAGTTTTTAAATTGTGCATGTCTGAAACTTTGGCTGACAGTGAACACCTGAAAGGTACAGTATCTCCTCTTCTGTGTTACTCTTAAATAAATGTCTATTTTGCCCAGCATTAGTGTGCACTGATTTACACCTATTTTGGAGAGTAGGAATCGTTGCCAAAATGGGCACCTTTGTAAGTCATAAAAAAGTTTTAAAAAATCCCCTTATATTTTAACAAAGGGAATTCAACTTTTCGATTGGAGAAAATGTGATAAACACTGATATTTATTGATTAAATTGGGAAATTGTTAAGCCTTAGAATAAGCTGTCCAGTGATATGTGCTACGTAACTAGCAGAGTAACTCTGAAAGCACCACCAGCGCTCTCATTTGTGTCTTTGACAGGACTCCAAACGCCTACTTGTTTCATTGCTGTTCATGACGCAGTTAAGGTTTTGGAACAGCTTCTCAGTACAATCAAAATAATGTCCTGAATTTACTTTGTGTGTAGGTGAGATGGTCGGCACACTAAAACACCTGCTGTGTGTTCCAATTGAGGTCAATGAGATATTGGAATCTTAGCCTCTGCTCAGTCAGCCATTGATTCACATCGATAGGGAGGAAAGAGAGGCCCAGATCAGTGATACAACAATAAGGAAGAAAGGGGGAAGAGATCAGATGGAAAAGTAGCAAAAGAAGGAGTGAGCCAGGAAAGAACTGGGAATGCAAGGGACAAGAGGAAATAACTAACAGTTATTAGGCGGAAGGTAATGTTTGAAAGTAAGCCTGGAGTCTGTCAGCAAAGGCTGGTAAACCCCAGCAAGGTAATCCCACAAAGCTAATAAACCAAGTCAATGAAGAGAACTAAATAGCAAGGCTCACGAAGGCTTACTGCAATCCTTGCATTTGATATAGTACCTTATTACCGTGTCAAGATGTCTCAAAACGCTTCACAGTATTTTACTGTAAAACGTAGTGACTGTGCATTTGTTGGCCAGCAAGGCAGACAATTTGTGTACAGCAATGTCTCATAAACAGCCATGAAATGAATGTACAATTTATTTTTGGTGGGGGAAGGAATTGTTGGTCAGGGGATACCCAGTTGCTGTATTTAAGGACAATTTGGCAAAACACAATTTATGTGTGTTACAATGCAATAGAAATTCACATGTATATAGCATCCTTCACCCTGGGAGGTGTCCCAAGGTGCTGAAATGGTTATACATAGGAACATGAAGAGGTCATCAACCCACTTATCCTGTTCCACCAATTTATAGACCGAGGCAGAGCTTTAATCCCACCTTCCTGCCTTTTCTCTACATCCTTTAATAACTTTATGTCGCTGATGTTATGTTGTGAAATAATCCAACTGTTGTTTGGACACTCTGAGATCCCTAAGCCTTGGCTCTTGCCAATCTTTGCCTAATATTCTGTAATTGAGTAAGCAGAATGCATCACTCCGGGGAGAGAGTGCGCATTCCATTCCAACAATCTATCTCTGGGATTTCCATGTGTAGGTGGGATGCATGGAAATCTCAGTTTGGTTTGGATCCTCTTAAGCATGATGATGGCTTTCTGCATATGGCAGACATCCAGCTGATCAAACAAATACCAATTGGACACTGCCTGTTATCCCTAATCGACAGCTACTTAATCACAGTGTATACCTTAAGAAGTGCATACCTGGTTTTCACCAGGAAAGCCACTTACATATCAGTGCAGAACAACCACTGAGGGCCTCTATTCAAATCTCTCCATAAAGGTTCTTGGATTCGCTCCTCTGATGGCTTAGCAAGTTTACTTAATAAGTAGCTAAACCAGATCCTACACACCCTCGGGATACCCACAGCAATCGCGGCACGACGCAGGGCGCTCGTAGGTTCTAAATTCAATTCCAATTGAGAGTTAACTAGTCTCAATTGGGCCTTTGCAACAGAGACGTTACCTTTGGTTTCAACCACCTGGGTTAGAGAGGGACAATTAGCCAGGGTTCCTGCTCCTGATGGTTATCCAGTGGCCCTCCACATATGACCCTTCACAGGTATGGAACAAATCAGATATGGCTGTGATACTCATCCCCTCTCCCCTCACTGCCTCATAATGCTCAATGTCAAGACTCACACATGAAGTATGCCCACTTGGATCAAATAGCGTACACATGGACCATACCCAGCAGAAGGAAGCACTTCCATGAGAGCAAGGAATTGACAGGAAAAACAAATAGAAAATTGTTCTCAGGACAACTCATCTGGAATTCTGCATTAATTTAGAAGCTAGCGCATTGTAGTATTAACCCTTCTTATCAGCAGGTGGGGCCAGAGGAGTTTTCAAGCTTATCAGAAGTGAAATCCTTTTGAAAGCAGTCCTCTTAATTCTACAGTATTTCTCTTCAGTATTACCCTTAATAGATGTAGCACTGTTTTTTTGACAATACCTTTTATATTATATATGTACTTTTATATTAGCCAGGGTTCCTGCTTCCGATTGTTATCCAGTGACCCTCCAAATATGACCCTTCACAGGTATGGAACAAATCTGTTTGTATTAATTGTGCGTTTTGCCCACAAATACAATCAATTCACTTTACGGTATATTCTGTGAAGAGCTTTGAGATGTCTAGAAGACGGGAAAAGCGCTACATCAAATGAAAAGATTATTATTATTATTTTATTCTAATGTGGCAAATGGCATTGAATTTGATTAAGCAGCTGTCAGCCTTGACTATATTTACCAGTGTAATAGTCATTAACTCAATGTTTTCCTGCACTGCACAATAACACTTTCAGGTCTTCTTTCCTCTTCCTTGAGGATTTATAAAGAATTTATTTAACAAATGTGGCATATTCATGAATAACCTTTGGGCTCTTCTGATGAAGTGCAAAGCAACAAATTTTGCTAAAAATTAACATTAGCAGAAAACCACAGCTTAATAGAGAAGTGTGTGTGTGATGAAGGTAGCATGCTGCCCCCGAGTGGCCAACCACTGCCTCACATGAAGTTATGAGTCCCAATCTCATTCAGATTTGAGATTATGTAGGAACACAGGAACCTGCTGAATGAATTCTGTTTCCACTCTGAGACCCAAGTCTCATAAATTGCTGGTACATTCTCACTGGTAGCATGAGTGTAAGCCTGATGTCCAGCAAGTGTGTTTAATTATTACAGATATGTAGATTTTGTCTCTGTCTCTCTCTCACACACACACACACACACACATCAAGCCTCAGATTCTACCTTCAGGTTTCTGCAATTTATGTTATTCTATTTCCAAAAAGAGCTGTAGTTTTGAACTTCAACAAAGGATTTTTTCAGCTCTCCGAATCTTATTTGCAAAATAAATTCTTACTTTGATGATATTTTTCAGAAAGCAGCAAGGAAATGACAATTTAACTGAAAAGACAGTGAACCACAAAGCTTATTTTGCCAAGGTGGTTATGAACATCAACAACAATTTGCATCTATATAGCGTCCTTTACGCGGGGTAGCATCCCGGAGCGCTTGAAGTTATGAAGTGGACAGTCTGAGTTCAACAGTAACTGACAAACAACCGATGATGGAAAACTTGATGGCAAAAGTCAGATTTTATTCATCAAAAGGAGGAGAGATATACTGAGGTAGTTCAGTGGAACTAACTACATTGTCTATCCAAGCTATTTTCTGGTTTCTCCACTAATACCCAAATTGTAATAGTTCAATTCACCACCAGCAGGACTTGAAACACAGATGTTTATGCTGCATTGCAAGTTTAGACTGGATGGCTGAATACAGAATACATCTTATTCCTGTTTATGGGGAATGCTGCACATGATGGGTGGGGAGCCTCCCCGTTAGGCCAGTTAGTTAAGATGCTGCTCCACTGACACACAGAACCAGAAGGTCACATGTTTCTCCAGTGTCAACATATTGATAAGGACAAGCCTTTATGCTGATTGCTGGATGATGTTGTTATACGGCAACACTTTCACACTACAATCAGCATTGGAACAATTCACTCGTATAAAGCATTAGGGATACTGGGGAAAGAACTGGAAAGTGGAACTAATGAAAATGGATAATTAAAAAAAACAGAGTTAACACTGGCACAAACACAGACACAGCTTCCTTCTGTGCTGAAAACCTTTATGCTTCTATGAACACTGTCACTTTGGAGCCAGGCAGCATAGCACCTAAATGGCCCAATCCTACGGGTGTGCTATCTCAGCTGGGAGAATGATGTTAGGTGATTGTCAGCACTAAATGAGCAAATCATACCTGAAGATTGCTTTAAATGTACTTACCCCAGCTGGCTTAGAGCTGAGTGTTGCATATTCTGTAGCTGATGTTGCTGCCATCCAGTTACTGAGCCCAGGTGGAGGGCTCCGGTGTTAAACCCAGAAAGAGATGACAAGTCAGCACTAGCAAGCGAATATTCTTCATTGTGTGCAGGAAGAGAGAGGAAGAAGAAAGGGAAAACAAGTGAAAGTTAATTGATAAAATTATTGATAAAGTTGTTAACTTCTAATGATTGATTTAAGATATTTAATATATGAGCTTGATTCAACACAAACTAGCCTGTTTAAATGTGTAATGTGATCAAGAGTGTATTGTATCAGGATGCAAACAAAATATTGTTATGCTTCTGAGCTCTGCAGTGGCCGTGTGTAAGATATTATGTAAAATAGACTGGGCTACAGCCAAATCATATTGAAGCCTTACTTGGACTGATAGTGCCAGTCCCACTTTCGCCAAGAAACAGACACTGCTGCCTTCATACTGTCGCACAGTCATTGTGACATCCATTAACGTCTGATGCTTCTGTTCACTTAATATGGACTAATTCTTGAATGCTACTCTGGATTTCGCCAACAAAACTGGCTGAAAATGATTTGAAAATCTACATTTTCTAGTGCTGTAAACACCATGTTTATGCTTATCAAACCCTCAGCTGCTCTGTTATAAAGGCAGATGAATGGACACGGCCATATTTAAAAAGAAACATCTTCACTTTTTTTAAATCAAATATTATTCATTTTAATTGTTTTCGATCTTATTTTCACCAGTGTTCTTTATTATGTAATTGGTGACAATTTTCTGAAAATTCAATTCAAAATGCAATGTGTGGTAAGAAAAACAAATGCTCCACACAATGATGCTATTAAAATGTATCGTGCTTGTAAGTCTAATCTGTTCATTTATTCAAGGTGCATCAGGACACTTAAGGTAAATTGCTTTGGAAGTATTACACTCAGAAAATTGCTTTCAATTTTGATTCTTATTGTATTACTGTCTGCCTGATAGAAATGACAATCAAAGCTGAAGGATGTTAACATAACCTACAATTTGAAAAGTTTAACACAGCAGGAAACCCACTGTTTGGTAAAGAGCTTGCAACATTTTTCTCTAGGCAATAATCTGTTTGTATTTTTGCTATGCTTCCTGGTATCTCATCCAACAAATAAAACAGGAAGTGCGTCCTACAATGCACAGTTTGTTCAAAATTGGTTTTCTATTGAAAAACAATAAGGACAGGAGTTAAACATATAGGTGCAAGATCAAGGCCTTTGACTGGAACTGCAAACTAAAGTATAATTTAAAACAACTCTGATTTTATCTATGTCTCTAACTTCCAAAAGACTGATGAATTTAACAACGCTTCTTAATATGGTAACACTACTCTCTGGATGTGTGCGTTTGTGAAACCGTTGAGGCATAACTGTGCTGTCAAACAAAATCACATTTTGTGGAGGAAAGTATGAAGACATAAAGCGCAGTTATTAGTGCGTGTGCCTAAAGCAATGACGCACAAGCTGCAGAAGGGAATATAAGACCCTCGAGAAATAAGGTTGCGGCATTACATCAGAATTAATACAAATAACCTAAGTGGATCAATTTGTGTGACCTACTGCATGCTTGTTACTGTCGATAAAACAATCAGAGTCACCTACCAGTACCATATGTGGTGGAAATGGCTGAAGGGTACCCTCCCATCCCTTGCCCAGGCAAAGTAGGGGTTGCCACGGAAACCACCGGTGTAGCCAGTGACTGTGCACCTTGCGAGTTGTTTATCCTCTGGTTCTATGAAAAAAACATAAGCGTACATGAAGCATAATCTTTAGAACTGGGCATCGTTTTTAATATTCAACACAGAGAGAAACGCAGGATAGCGCCCGAGACGTTTTTCGTAAAATTAATCATTTAACAAAATTGGCCTTGAACAACTCTTCTAACCCTATCATTTGCAATCCTTCAGGAGATTAGATGTTCCCATGGTAACCAATTACATCAGTATCTCCATGGTAACTGGACCAGTCACCAGCAAAGATAAGTCTTACTGTGGCGGGAAGTAGACCATGTGGAAAACTAATAAAATATGCGAGCTGTCCTGTCATTGTTTCTTTTTTTTAATTCAAATCACAAAAAAAAATTAAATCTATAGCCGTGAGGTGCACAAAATATTGTACAGCTTTATTTTAATTGTGAGCGGTGTTGCTGTGAGCTGCAATATTTCACATGAGCAGTAGGTGGCGCTGTGCAGCTTCTATTCTGTGCGGCTCGACTCAGAATTGGTGTTACAACGTCAGCACATTTTGGGTTGTGTCCATCATTTCTAATTTAAAACCAGACAGATATGATTTGCAGCAACTAATTGATGATTAGATGGGTAACTTTTAATGGCACCTTTCTAGTGGTCTATACTGCTCGCCCTTATTTATGGACAACATATGTCACTCGAGCCATTTTGGCTGAATTGGCAGCACTCTTGCCTGAGTGAGAAGGTCGTAGTTTTAAGCTCCAGATCAGCACTTGAATTCATAGTTCAGGCTGCTGCTCCAGTGCAGTAACGGGAGAGCGTTGGCATTCTACAGCTGCGTTGTCATTTACCTCATGCCTACTTGTGGGCCTTTACTGCATGCAAAATGGTTGCCGAGCCTAAAAATAGGCAGTCACTACACATGACTGTAATTACAGTGAAATGCTTTAAGACATTATCAATGCTATGAAAATGTAAGATTCATTCTGCGAGTGGATTTGAAAAGGAAAACTGAATGCTGGTAAACTGAAATAAAAACACAGAAGGCTGGAAATTCACAGCAAACCTATCAGCATCTCATATTGGGGTTAACATCCTGTGTGTCTTGCAGCCATTGATTAAAATACAGTGGATTTCCAGCCTTTTCTGTTTTTATATCAATCTCTGGGTTATAAAGGTGTGGGACAAAAATTGAGACATGCTGATGTGTTATTTATCACCACTGATAATATACATGTCATTGATAAATGCCATCAAGAAAGTCATCGACACCCTGGTCTGTGGAGACTGAGGTTGTGTATCCCCCCGTCCCCATTTTGTGATAATGGTTGGGCTGGCCTGAAGCCAGATACCTTCAGCCTGAGGCACACGGTAAACAGACTGCAAGTTTGCAAGATTCCGGTCTAACTCTCTTCTTAGTTACCCTGCATTTTATCAGCTTGGATCAGTTGATAGCAATCTTGTCTCTGAGTCAAAAGGTTGTGGGTTCCAATCCCCACATCTTGAATACATCTTGAACACAATGTCTAGGCTAACACTCCAGTGTGGAGGAGTGCTGTAGTGTTGAAGGTGCCATTCTTTAAATGAGACATTAAACCAAGTTCCCGTCCGCCTGTTCAGGTGGACATTAAAGATCCCACGGTACTATTCAAAAAGAAACTAAGTCTCTTCTCGTATCCTGACCAACAATCCCCCAGATAAAATTGGTCAGTTACTTCATTTGTGAGACATTGCTATGTGCAAATTGGCTACCACATTTGCCTACAATTACACAGTCACTCTACTTCACAGTAAAATCCCGTGAAGTACTTTGAGATATCTCTACTGTGTATTCAGGGGCTACATCAAATGCAAAGATTATTATAATTTTCACCCCTTTACTTTTTTCTCTATATCCCATGTGGAAGTAAATTGGATTTTAGTTATCCTTTAATTGCAGAACTATGATTTTATTTTCTAATTAATCTGATGCAAAAAAAACCTGTGAACAACACAGGGCAGGAAATATTAACCAGTACAGATCATGGCATTTGTAAAGGATTTGCAGACTGTTTGCAGACTGACGCTATTTTTGGTGATTGATGAAAAACAAATCAGAGAATGAAGAAATAAAGTCACTGTTAATGCTTGTCTTCTGCAGGGGAAATGTTTGAAGGCATCAGCAAAATTCTCACTTACCAATAATAAATCAACATCCTCAGACTGTGAGCATAAAAAAGGAGCAATGAATAACCGTTAGCTGGGACACAAGAGTCACCACAGACTGTCTAGAGAGGTTTAGCATGGGCTTATCCTCCAGTGTTAAAATGAATTTTAAATTTCCTTCTTTTGGATTTCCATTTTCTATTTCAGAGATCAGGCCTTTGACCCGCTCCCACACTTCACCTGATTAGATTTTGGTGCTTCACTATCTCCACTACCTTCACTTGGAGAATGCATTTGCCCTTTGCTTATGACCACCTCTGATGGTGAGATGAAGACCGGCAATTCTTCACGTGGATAATGGAATGATTGCTCACTGCCTGATACTGGGTGCCCCTGTTCTCTGTGCCACAAGCCTTCTGGATTTCTGGACTTTTTGTCCTAAATCCATTTCGAACTCAGAGAGGTCCTACAAAGAATCCTAAATAGCACTGAGCAGTTCCCCACATTCTGCACGCTGTTGTGTTGCTTTTTATTGGTGTTGCTTAGCTGTGAATGGCGTGTTGGTGATGGGGCAGGAATTTCACATTGTTTTGAAGGGGATTCAGGCTGGTGTTGAGACGCAAACATTTTCAATGTTAATTTAAAAATCTTTCACTAAAAAGAACTAGTGAGGGGACAATATGGGGCAATTTTCTGATTGTCCACACCTTGAGAGTATGGATTTATAAAGGGAAAATCCCATTCCAACTTCATCTGCCAAGGTCGATAAAGTTACCAAGCATTAAAGGATCAGATGGGACTGCCCGCCAAGATCAATAAACTTACAGATGATCAGAGAATTGCCCGTGAAATTACTGAAGAATGTTTAAAGGACACCCCTCAGTATTTTGTCAGAATATTTCACTATGACATTTCTACCTACCACAGGAATGGGCCCTGAATGGTCGGCAGGCACTCTCTCTTTACTGCTTTTATGCTCTCTTTTCTGTCCATGCTGGGCAAGGTATTAAATATTCACTGGGCAATGTTAAATTCTGCTTTGCATCACCAAATAAAGTTGATTTGTTCTGTTTTTTAGTGCTACAAGGTGCCCTCAGTATGTACACAAATCAATGTGGCCTGAATTCTGTTCCTTACAAAAGAAACTTTCTTACAATTTTCCTGAAATGCAGTAGGAATACTAGATTCTAGCTCTGTAGAAAATCTTGATTATTTACAAGAACCTTGTTCCGGACAAGGTTGCCACTTACCACTGACGGCATGGTGTTCTTTGGGCCTGGTGGGATGAGAACACGGAGATCAGGCTTACGGTTGTTCATGCCCAAGTTCATTGGAGGGGGTGACTTGGCTGACATATTCTTCATGCTGCCAGGCGAGACCAGCAAACCTGGCGAATTGCGGGGATTCCCATATCCGTTTCCTGTTACAAATAAGACACAGCTATTTTATTGTAATAGACGGCAATGGTTCAGTTGCAGGCTATTAATTGCTTCATAGTACAATATGCTCACAAGATATTGACAGGCACAAACATTACACAAGTCTATTTTGTTGCCTCTTTTCCTGAGTTTTTTTTAATATAGCTTTTCAGTGTCACTTCTCATTGAATACTATTCCTTTGGTGGGAATATTACCTGTCAGTAAAAGAGCTATCTGTTGGCATTATTAGTGTCTAAAAATTGGACAATAAAGATCTCTGAAACAGTAACACTAGAACAATGTTTGTTTTTAAAGGATTAAGTCTCACAGTTTTATAGTAACAAATTAAAGAACTACTGTTAACACTGGAGTCTCTTTTCCAAAATTAGTATTGAAGAATTAGCACTAACATTTGGGGGGGGTGGTATTTTTAATGTAATTAATGAGGCATCATCAGAGGAAACTGGTTTGGGAGAGCTGGTGTGAGGGAACTGAACTAACATCACAGATAATTTGGAATGGCAAAGCTGGCATGCTAATAATTATAGCTCCCCAGTCAATTTAGCCACTCTCACTAGCTCCTTCAAATCAGTGATGCTTAATAAGAATATCAGCCCACATTGGTTAACAACCAAACAACTAAAAACAACAACAACAACATCAACAGAAACCAACAGACTGGCTGAAATATGGAGTTCTCTGCTAAATTGTTGAAGCAGAAGAGTTCATCAAATCTTTTTACTATTGTTCTGGGGAGCAGAGAGGGGGTGAGGAGGTTCGCAAAGCCTCCGTGGGGCTTAGCTCGCTCTAAAATGGAGATGAATGTTTGGCAACACAATATCAGAATTAAGTCAACACTCTGGCGATCTCAGTAGTCCGGTTCCTGAGCCAGGCTTTTCTGCATGTGTCAAACACCCGGTTGACCAAAAAAGAGCTAAGGAAATTAGATAGCTGCTTGAAAAAGAGGAATAATAATAATAATAATCCTTGCATTTGATATGGAATATTAAAGGGTATGGAGTATGAGCAAGAGAGTGGCATTAGACGAGATGAAAACACCAACATAACAGATTGAATGGCATGTTTGTGCTGTTGCATTCTGTGACTCTTTGAAACAAATGTTAAATCTTTGAAATTGTGAAAGTTGTTGATTGTGACAATGAATTTTGTATGTCTTAATTAAAGGTCTATTGATAATCGATTGATTATTATCCACACAATATTTCTCCAGAACAAGCAGGTTTTGTAGTACTGCAAGTTAACCTACAACTGTATGAGAAAAACAAACTACTAAGGAAATTCTGAAATGAACTCCTATCTAATGTTAATGGAATGGATGATACGCAGATTTGTTGTAAAATCCATTCTGTGCTAAAGCTAGTAAAGTGGTAATTGCACCATTAAACTGTAATTCAATACACGGTGCTGAAAATTTGGTAGATGAAGCAAATGTTTCTAAAACATGATCCTCAAACTGAAAGCATTGTTTTACTGTAGTTTGAGTTGATGCAAGGAAGCTATTTATCTGAAAGGAAGTGGCAGCACCTTTGCAAGCCTGCTGTTCTGATATGATAAGCCTAAACGAAAGGTGTGAAAACAGTAGCTGCACCTCTGGACTACTACGGGTAGAAAAATATTCAAAACTTTCTGGGAAATCCATCTTAAGAGTTTAAAACTATTGAGCTGAAGGGCAAAGTTGGTGTGAATCAAGTCGGATGCTGCACACTGAGCACATTGAGTATTAGCTCTGAACTGAGACCAGAGAAGCCTGAGCTGAGCCCAGTCTAGGTTTAATTAAATATCTGCTGAATTTGGGCCTCTTTGGAACTGGAAAGGTCCCTTTTTAAAAAAACTCTAATCTCCCCTGTGCATTTCTGTTGTCACGTTCAGTGTTGCTTCACTCATCACACAGTGACGGAAAGGCTCAAGGTTTTTTTTATAAAAAAGAAACAAAAATTTGTTGAAATTTCATGCAAGACAATCTGGGGAGTGAGGGAGAGGAAGTCCAAGCAGAACACATCCAATACCTGGCAATTGGTACTTGCTTGTACTGTGCACACCACCACCTATACCCGAGCGCTGAGTGTACTGTACATTCAGTGCCATCAGGTCTCAACCTGGCTCAATTGGTTAGGCTCTTGCCTCTGAGTCAGAGATTATGGGTAGAAGCCCCACATCAAGATTTTGAGTTCACTTCATGGCTGTTTGTATGATACTGCTGTGCGCAAATTGGCTGCTGCGTTTGTTTACAAAGTACATAATCATTACACTTCACAATAAATCTTGCAAAGTACTTTAAAGCGATGTGAAAGGTGCTATCTCCTCCCGATGTGAAACGTGTTATGTCAAATGTACAAATTATTACTATTACATTGATCTTGTGGGGGGAAGAGGGGAGAAGTGATGATTCAGTAACATTGTGCGGGGTGGGGAGGGGAATGCACCAAGTCTCTATTGATGTGTGGTTGGGTTAAGCGGATCCTGGGGAATCAGTACTCATTGGTGGTTTAGTGACAAGCGTGCTTGGTTGCAACATGCAGTAGGTGCATTCAGTAACTGTCTGCATTACACTCCTCTGGTACATCAGCTTCAAACGTGAAAGTTTCATCCTTCACACAGGTGACTGGCAAGGTTTAGTTAAAGTGAAATTAATATTTCAAGTTACTTTTTTGCTAAAGATTAATTATAACCAATAAAACAAAATTTTTAAATGTTTTGCCTCATCCCACTCCCACCTCGCCTCCCACACGCACACACACACTGGTATTTCAATACCCAACTGCTATCCAATCATTTTTTATTTGTACATGAAAATGAACGCACTGAAGGGTGCTTAAAGGAATAGGTGAACCGCTGCTGAATAATTTTAGAAGCTCTATAAACACTGAGCTCTACCTGAAGCTTGGAGCACAGCAAATATTACTCATTGTTCAAGAAGTCGAGAAAGATATGGAAATCACAGACCAGGATTTTGCATAGTCTTAGAAACAATGGGTCATTTTTCACAAATCTGAATCGTTCAAGGAAGTAATTAAATTTGTGGATGAGGGGTGCCCAGTGCATATGATTTGCTTGATCTTCAAAAAGCATATGATAAAGCTACGCATGAAAGACTTTTGAACAAGGTTAAAGATCAAAGAATTAGTGGTGTAATAGTTGCCTAGATCAAAAATTGGTTCAGCAATGGCAAGAAGAAGGTGATGATAAATGGATAATACTCTCTGTAAGGACATGGACTACTTCTGTTCTGTGTTCTCTACTCATAAATTATTTATAGGAAAATACTTTTTATAATATATTTTAAAATTTCCGTTGATACCAAGCAAGATCTGGAACATTAAGTAGAATGGCTCAGCAGTGGTAGAATGGATTTTAATGTAGATGAATACAAAGTGATGTGTGTTGGAAAAAAAACAGCCAACATGTACACAACTCTCTTTCATTGGTGAAAATAAGATTAATTGGGAACATGATCCAGATCTTTAAAATGTATTGCTTCTGTAAATAATAATATTCCTTACATTCGGTACAGCACTTTTCGCATCAGGCGAATGTCTCAAAGCGCTTCACAGAAAATATTGTGAAGTGTATTATGGCAATACGGTGAATTCATTTATCCTTCATATACAAATACTGTGTATTTATAGGTGAACATAGCAGCATGAACATTGCACACAACAATATCCCACAAACAGTAAATGAAACAAATGAATACATTTATCTGGGAGATTGTTGTCCAGATCACTAGAAGAAACTCTGTTCTCTTTTTGAAAAAAATGCCATGCAATCTTTAATGTTCATCTGAACAGGCAGATTCTCATCTGAAGGATGGCACGACATCCACAACCTTCTGATTCAGTTGCAACAGTGCTACTAGCTGAGCCAGGTCGATACTTAGACAACTACAGGATATACATTTAAGATTAAGAAACTTAAAATTAGGAGATTGGGATTTTTTTCTCATGGTTGTAAATATGTTGTAAATATGGAACATAATCCAAATAGTTGATACTCATATTCTGTCAATTAACTTCTTAAAAAAATGGATAAATATCTGCTTGGGAACACCATTCAAGGATATAGGAATTAGATTTAAGTTAACAAATAGCAAATGGGTACAATATTCCTTTTCTTTGGAGGTGGGGGAGGTGGCTGTGGGTGGAAGGAAGATTAGTGTGTCTGAAGAGGGAGAGTCCAGGATGGAACAGTGGAAATGGATGAATACTCTGTAGAGTTTGCTTTATTATCCTTGGCAAAAAAAGGAGCATCCATGTGTTGAATTTAGCCTCCACAATAGGGTAGTTTCTGCATGGTTTGTGGAAGGAGCGGGCTGGATGGGCCAAATATATGTTCCTCATTGTTTAAGATTTCTCCCCATACTACAAGCCTAGCTTTTAGAGACTGGTAAATAGGCATTTATTCATGACTATCCAGCCTTCCTGGATTAGCAACTTTCATAAAAGGCATTCAGAATACATAGTTGTGGATTCTAACCAATTATGCAGTAACTCATCATATTTTTTTTAAAAATCAATGAAAAATACATGCATGTGGTTGATTGCAAAGGAGGATTTTTTTTACATAACAACCCACTCTGTAAACCGCATCCTTCTTACTCAGAATACTGTGGCCTTCTTTGAGGGCAGGCATCCCTCCTCCAGACAATCCGCTAAACAGAATGTCTGTTACCTCGAGGAACACAGGGCTTTCCGAAGCCTTTAATGCACAGATTAAAACTTTCCTCAACAGCTAGTTTAAAATGATGGTGTATCATGAAATTACAATTTGTGACACACTCAGAACTCAGTCCTAGAATCAATCGCCCACTAAAAAGAGGAAAAATTATACATTTAAGCTAGATATATTTGCAGACAATATATTACTAGAAGATGAGAAGTACATGCTTTTTATGTATCTTTCACAGGCCTTGTAGTTACATTTTCTTTACCTTTATATTGAATATTTTCTTTAAAAAAAACTTAGTCTTAATTTCTTTCATTA